AAGCACCCGGGCCCCGCAAGGAGACAGGGGGCCAGGTGGGCTGCGCCTCGAGCCCGCCGTCGTGCGACCTGCTGAGGAGTGACCAGCCAGGTGCGCCCAAAGCCAGGGATCAGGGATGGCCATTGCCCGCCAGGGCAATCCAGCCAGAATGGGCTGTTACTCCACAAATACCCAAGCTGGCGTTGACGGAGCAGAACACCCCGGGCCCTGTGTACTGACCTAGACAGGGGGCCAGGTGGGCTGCGCCTCGAGCCCGCCGTCGTGCGACCTGCTGAGGAGTGACCAGCCAGGTGCGCCCAAAGCCAGGGATCAGGGATGGCCATTGCCCGCCAGGGCAATCCAGCCAGAATGGGCTGTTACTCCACAAATACCCAAGCTGGCGTTGACGGAGCAGAACACCCCGGGCCCTGTGTACTGACCTAAGGGGCCCGGGGTAATCCTAGGACTTTCCAGAACTCGCAGGTGTGCGTCCACCTGATACATTTCAGGGACCCTCTGTCGTCTCGGGTTTGTTTCCTGCTCCTGGTTCCAGAGAGAGAACGTTGGTCTTGAGAGCGTTCTAATAACCTGCCTTTCTCTGGTTTTCCAGCTGTGATCTAGAGAAGTCTGGTTCTAGGCGGGAGAATCCAGTGTGCCTGGGTCTCTGGTTTTGGGACGGTGGGGACCGGACTTTGCAGCAGGGTGGGCTCTCTCTGGGCAGGAGGTGGACAGGCTCAGGTATCGCAGAGAGGCCCCTTCCCGCCCCTGAGCTCTGGGCTTTGTAGGGGGAGCAGATGAACAACCAGCCCAGAAAACCATGCAGCTCTTCGGCTGAGCCTATGACCTGCCCTTTAGGGATGTTGCTTTTCCGGGTACAGTGAGCTTGGTGCCTTCACAAATTCTCCGAGAATTGCAGAGAAAGTTGCACAAGGACCCATTGCTTTTCATTTGGTTTGGTTTGGTTTTTTGGTTTTCGGGGATTTTTTAGAAGACCCAGGACAGTTAGCGCCTTACGAAGATGCCTTGAAACTTAGAGTACCTGTGCATGGCCACCCTCTAGTTTGGAAAGTGTCTGTCCCCAGATGGCGTGGCGAGCCCGGAGACAGCGGGGACAGTGGCTGGAGCTTTGGTTAGCAGCTGCTCACAAGCGCTGGAGTGCTGGCCCGGCTATGGCTCGCTCTGACCCTTCCTGTGGTCTCGCTGGGCCTTCCCTATTAACAACTATCTAGAGTTCATGGAAATCGCTGTTGGACATCTGGCGAGGAGACACAGCCCCCCGCAGATGGGTGACCCTGCTGACTGCACCTTTGCCTGCTGTGCTGCTCGGGTTCCAACTTGGTTGTTCAGTTGTGGAGATTTCAGTGCTTTGTCCCTGTTTGGAGCTGGAAACATCCACCCGGAGGGGAAGCTCCAGCGGTGCAGACAGGGGCTAAAACCCCGCCACTCTACACGCCCAGGCTGAGTGGCCTGGCCTGGCCATGTGCTCACATCAAGGCATTTTTCAAAGCTCAGGTGACTCCCAGTGTAGAGACCACTTTCTTCCCTTGCCAGTCAGAACTCAGAAAACAATCCCCTGGGTTTCAGTCCAGCATCCTGCGCCCGCCTTCCGTCCCCACCTGGGGCACCGTTTTTACATCCACTGTTTCACCCCAGCCTTCCCTGACTCGAGGACCACACATGTAGACAGGCATGTTTGTAAGGGCTCAGCAGCCCAGAGGGGCTTTGATCAGTGCTCAGGAACAGTCCTCAACCTTGGCTCAATCATTCCTGAATTCTAAAAGCTTGCACAGGTGCACAGGTTAGAAAACAGCTTGATAAGGAAAAAAACACACCCCATGCTCACAGATGTGTGATTTTGGCATTTGATGAGTGCTTGCTGCATTTTTTGTGAGGTATCCCCAACATTACTGGAGGTGCTACAGCCTTTACAGAAGGGTGATTTGCAGGCCTTAGATCATGGCAGGCACGCCACCAAAAGCACTGTGAGACCCTCATCTCCTCCTCTTGCATTTGGCACTGGGTGAGGAGTGAATGGGCCGCTCTGCCATGTACTGCCCCATGTGTCCTGTGCCGTCACCGGCCAAAGCACTGGGGCCATGGACTGAGAGCCAGAATAAACTTGTCTCTTTTTAAATTGGTTTTTCTCAGGCATTTGTTACAGTAGCAGAAAGCTGGCACACAGCATCTAAAGCACAGGATGGCAGCTTTCCACTGGTAATGGTGTAGGTACCAGCTGCCCTGTGCCACCATGACTTGTTATGATAAATACTGGAAATGTCAACCCCCAGTTTCTTCACTGGGAACTTAATGAAAGTGATCAAACCTGTCATACAGAGTCCACACAGATGACAGCAGCAATCCACATGGTGCTTGGAGGGATACCGAGGGCTGGGTATCGGCTGCTGTTGTTACTTACTGTGGCAACGGCTGTTGTTGGAAAACAGGGTTCAGGGCAGCATCCATGAAACAGTGTCACTCAGGCTCCTGAGATATGTTTACAATGGCAGATACTCTCCTGTTTGGGGTTGGGCTACAGAGTACGTGTCCCAGGGTGTCCTGTGTGGGTGCACCTCCCCTGTCTCTCCTTGACCTTTCCTGAACTGGGTTTCATGCTGCCCTGGCGGACAGAATCAGCATCTTTGCCCCAAGGGCTAAGTCCTCTACCCAGCGCGGTGGGCCACATGGCTCCCGGCACCTTCCCCTCACGCCCTCACTCACCCAGTTCAGTTATCCTGCTGTAGCTGCTTTAGGAAGAGCTCAGGACAGAGAGCCTGATAGAAGGCCATGTCCCACAGGGCTCAAAGAAGTCATCCACATGCGTTTCCCCCGGTGGAATCTGCCGCAGTCTGTGGGTGCCCTCCCTGCTAGCATGGTGACACCTGCTTCCTTTAATATGTGCCAAGCAACATCTAAATATGTATATTTCTGTATTTGCCCTTACAATTATCACAACATTATCACAATGCTTATTTAGATCATTTCTTTAGGGGCCACAGAGTCTCTGACTTTTAAACTGAAGCAAACTTGGACGCTGAATGGAAGCCTTTATTCTGTGTGCTAATAACATCCTCCCTCCACATCTGTGGGTATTTTTTTAAATGTCTTTACTGAACATATACAGACTTTTTTTTTTGTTATTTTTCCTTCTACAATCCAACATAAGAACTGCTTGTGCACGTTTGCACCGTGTGAGGCACTGTTCATCGTGTAGAGAGGGTGCAGACCTGAGGGTGGGTGCACCTGGCTCTGTGCAAATCCTACAACATTTCCTGCACAGGACCGGGTACCAGCAGCTCCGAGTATTCATGGGGCGGCTGGGAATCCCCCAGTGAGACCCAGGGAGGACTATATACTCTGTAGTCACAAGAATTTTCTAAGCAACCTTAGGTTAGCAGCAGTAGTATTTCATAGTTATTCTTCTGCCAAAGAGGTTATCCTCATGTGCTCTGGACACAAGAAGACAGTGAAACTCGCCGTTCCTCACATCTGGATCTTCACCATGGTCTTTCTGCTGGGGTGCTATACAATTTACACCAGGGGAGGCAGCTGTTTTGTGTCTGCAGTTAAAGAACTTTATTAACCAGCTGACTGGTGTTTGTGCCCCATCTTTCTGGCTAGATTGTAGGCTTTCAGGGCACAAAGTTTCATCTGTAAAGCAGACTACAAAGCAAATACTGTGTCCAAATGATGATAGTATCCCGTTTATATGCTTCCACAACACACACATGTGCCCCTAACTGGATGAGAAAGAAAGGAACGTGCAAGTTTGTGTTCAACTTGTAGAACATGCACACGTCTTGAGCTCATGGGAAGGTGCTCTGTGAAGCCCATGAGCTGCCTTGGGCACCACAGGCACCCAGGTGGCCACCACTAAAACAGAAACCACCATTTATTATTTACAGCCACTGCCAGGGGCAGAAAGACTCATCCAACTCTGGGCAGGGTTTTGCACAAGGAAACTGGAATTTGGGGGCCAATTTAGCAGGGAAATGTAGTCACTCAGAGCAGGTTACTAAACCAAAACCATCACAAGCTTTTTCTTTACCTGTAATCACACAGGCAAGAAAATCTCCTTCTGCGATAAGACATTCACTGTCAGTAAACACTTGTTTTGGATCAGGCTGCCGTCGTGACTCCGTCCGGAGCTCTTCGACAGTCACAGAAATGTTAGTGTTTATTAAGAGCGGGCGATTTTGGTTACTTGGGCACTCTAAGAGACTCCAGCTGTGTGCAAGCGAGTGTGGA